CATGCACCATGTGCCCCGGGGGTGGGCCCGCTCCCCATGGGTGGGCCCACGCATGTGCCGTGTGCCTGGGGGTGGCACCGCGCGCCCATGCCTGTGGTGCCAGAATACCTCGGGCCGGCCCTGACCACACCTAACTGAGGTAGAGTTGGCCAGTAGGAATGTAGGTAGGAATTTCAAACTGGGACAAAGGAATTTTTGGTTTTTCCCTCTCCATTTTCCTTGGGCAGTTCCTCTCCAGCAACTGAAGGTGACAGACATGTCTCTCTCTCCAAGAAACTATTCTTCACTCTTCTGTAAATAGGGTGAAGTTTAGATAAATCCATCAGGTTTCATTGTTTTATGGTTTGGGAAATGGGATCTGATGTCTGTGCACTTTTAAAAAATATTTTGGCTTCCCTTTGTAACTAAGTTCTAGGTCTGTGGTGGAGTGTCTCCATGAGTATTACTTTATTACTTTGCCACAACTAAGTTCTAGGTCTGTGGTGGAGTGTCTCCATGAGTATTACTTTATTACTTTGCCAGCTAGCAATTATGCTTGCAACAGGAATATTGTGGTGATAATAAAAGTTCTTTCTCTTTTCCTTTTATTACCCTGGTATTGGCTAGTGGTTGTGTCCTGGTTTGTATTTTAGAGATGAGCTTTCCCAAGTGATCTCTGCCCTGACTTTCTTATCATTAGTCGGGTGGTGGCAGCGGAGTTTTTTATTCCCAAAATCTAGATTGTTAATATTTTGGGGGAAGTTTTATACCAAAGCCTGGCAGATAAGGTTTGCGGTACTTTTGCTGCCTCCACTTCTGCATTTATTGTGCCCGAGTGGGGAAGGAGCCTCCTTTCTAGGAGCTGATTCACCAGCTTTTCTGCATTTATTGTACTCGAGTGGGGAAGGAGCCCCCCTTCTAGGAGCTGATTCACCAGCTGCCTAAATTCATGTTCCTTTGTTGTTCATGCTGCTGGGTGGCTTGTGCTGCTGTAACTACTTGCCAGGGCACGGCGAGTTCTGCTACAGGCGTCCTGGTAACCTATTCACATGGAAGGAGGTGGTGATTTGCCTGAGTTCTCACAGCAAGTCAGTGGCAATCAGCAGTAGGGTGCAGGTGTCCTAATTCAGTTCAAGCCACAGACTCGCCTTCGCTCCCCCTCTCAGAACGGGAGGTGCTGTGCTCTCTGCCGTATAGGAGCGGTTCCCATCTCAAACACTGTATCTCAGCAGAGTAGCTCTCTAATGAGGGGCCTGGTATTTTTCAGGACACTGTTGTTGCTCTGCAAGCTCTGGCCCGCTACGCGTATCTCACTTTCTCAAAAGACGGTCGGAACACGGTCACGATCAGCTCCCCGGAACTTCCGAAGAAGGTTTTCCAGGTGGACAACAAGAACCGCTTCCTGCTGCAGCAGGTGTCCCTGCCCAGCCTCCCTGGCACATACAGCGTGGAAGTGAAGGGCAGTGGCTGTGTCTTTCTGCAGGTAAACAAGACTCCCACCCCCAGGCTTCTAGCCCTTTCAGTTCTTAACTCTCCCCATGCAGGTAAACAAGACTCCCACCCCTGAACTTCTAGCCCTTTCAGTTCTTAACTCTCCCCTTGCTTCCTTTCAGCAGTGCTGCAGCATCACAGCAGGGGCTGCCCAGGCTACTTTGCTACATGACAGTTTCTTTCTCCTCTAGACAACCCTGAGGTACAACATCCACCTTCCCCAAAAGGCCTCTGGGTTCTCTCTCTCCGTGCAGACAGTGAATGGTTCCTGTGCAGGCAGCTTCCTGCCCAAGTTTGACCTTGTCGTCTCCGCCAGGTAAGCTCATGCCACCGCCCTGGCTCTCTGGAGCCCACAAAGGGCAAAGTCTCAGGGGAGGGACTGAAAGAGGAGACCAGTTAACAGCCCATGGCGTGGCTGCAGGAAGGCATGCAGGGCCTTCTGCGGAATGACACTGACTCCTACCGCTAACTGCTCCACCCGCTGGTGGAACTGCAGGGGCAGGAAGGGCCCCACAGCGCAGTGAGATTTCTGCACGTGTCATTGTATTTCCTCCCCAGTCACGATCCAGACTGACCCAGTCTCTCCTGTTTCAGTTATGCCGGGAAGCGCACTGCCTCCAACATGGCCCTGATCGACGTCAAGATGCTCTCGGGCTTCGTCCCTGTCAGGTCGTCCTTGCAGGAGGTACGGGAATAGGGTGCTGTCAGTAATCCACCCAAAGGGCAGCCAGGGTCAGAGGCCATTACGCCAGGGGCTGGAAAAGGAGAGGGGCTGAGTAGCGAACTGGTGTCCTAAGCCACGTGGAGAATTCTGCTAAACTATTTGTGCCCAGGGTCTAGCCACTGACGCCCTGTGCTCAAGTAGGGTAGTTACCCCTGGAGAGGGTAAGTGTGCTTGGCCTTGGGCACTGTGCCTCCTCATCCACATGGGGTATGTGGTCCCCAGGCCTTGCCATGGGATGATGCCAATGTACGCAGTGCAGTTTAACAAGCCTGGAAGAACCTATATCTCCCTACCCACCTCTGTTGTATATAGACTCACCCCCCAGGTTATAATTCAGAGATCACAGGATAAGGGACCACTGAGATGATCCAGTCTGACCATCTGCATAACACAGGCCAGAGAACGTCACCTGGCAGTCCTGTAGCAAAGCCATAACTTGCAGTTGAGCTAAAGCCCATGTCTTAGAAAATCACTAAATCTCAAGTTAAAGCCTCCACATGATGGAGGATGCAGTACATGTCTTGGGAAAGGGGTTCAATGGTTCATATCCCTTGCTGTTCAAAATGTGCACCCTGTTGGTAGCCTGGATTTAATTAGTTTCAACTCCCAGCCACGCACACTGTGGAAATGTTTCTCAACCGTTTTGATACCAGGGAGTGGCTTGGTGCCTTTCTAAACTGTGTGAGGGAGAGCTCAGGGATATTACTTACCGTGGTCTTGGAGAAAACTGTTTTATGCTTATAAGGCTACATCTAGACTGCAGGCTTCTTTTAGAAGAAGCTTTTCCAGAAGAGATCTTCTGAAAAAACTTCCAAAAGAGAGCGTCCACCCCGCGAAAGCGCATTGAAACAGCCATCTGCTTTTTCGAAAGATAGTGTCCGCACTGGATGGAGGCTACCTCCCATGTAAGCTGTGATTGCTATGGATGGAATGGCCACCAGAGCACCTGTGCTTTTTTCTCTTTCCTCTTCTTCTGAAAGAATTCCCTCTTCCCCATTCATACCTGCCTTTTTCCAAAAGAGCTCTTTTGGAAAAAGGCTTCTTCCTTATAGAAAGATGTTTACCAGTGTCAGAAAAAAACCCCTCTGTTCTTTCGAAAGGATGTGATTGCAGTGTGCATATAAAAACTTTGTAGTGTAGACATGCCATATCATGGCTCCTTCCCCACTCTGGCACTGCCCAGAAGTGGAGGCCAGCAAAAGTACCCCAAAACCTTCTCTATCAGGCTTTGGTAAAAAAATTCCCCCCAAAATCTAGATTTTGGGAATAAAATCTCCGTTGCCACCACCCACGTATTGATATGAAAATCACTTGGGAAATCTCACCCCTAAAGTACAAACCAGGACACAAACCATTAACCAATACCAGGTTAATAAAAAGAAAAGAGAAAGAACTTTTATTATCACCACAGTATTCCTGTTGCAAGCATAATGACTAGATGGAAAAGTAACAAAATAATATACTCATGAAGAAACTCCACCATGGGCCTAGAACTTAGTTACAAAGGGAAGCCAAAACATTTTTTAAAAGTGCACAGACATCAGATCCCATTTCCCAAACTATAAAACAATGAAACCTGACGGATTTATCTAAACTTTACCTGACTTACAGAAAGTGTAGAATTGTTTCTTGGAGAGAGAGCCATGTCTGTCTCCCTCAGTAGCTGGAGCAGCACTGCCCAGAGACAAAGGAGGGAAAAAACAAAAATTCCTTTGTCCCAGTTTGAAATTCCTACCTACATTCCAATTGACCACTCTACCTGCCTTAGGTGTAGTTAATCCCTTGGGGTATGTCTACACTACCCTCCTAGTTCGAACTAGCGGGGTTGGTTAAGGTAATGCTCTGTGTTTATTGAGAATACAATGGGAAAACAGTTAGCCTATGCTTAGATAGACAGAGAGACGGGCACACACATCCCTGCCAGTCGGAAAAGGTAATGCGCTGTGTTTATTGAGAATACAATGGGAAAACAGTTAGCCTATGCTTAGATAGACAGAGAGACGGGCACACACATCCCTGCCAGTGATGGTATGGTTACCAGTCTGTTGCGCACACACACCCCTGCCAGTGATGGTATGGTTACCAGTCTGTTGCTTGCATTAGCCTGGCTAATCTATGGAGATATACCTGCCTCATAGAGCTGGAAGGGACCTTAAAAGGTCATTGCATCCAGTCCCTTGCCCTCATGGCAGGATTAAGTACCATACCTGACAAATTTGCCTCAAATCCCTAAATTGCCCCCTCAGAGATTGGGCTCACAACCCTGGGTTTAGCAAGCTAATGCTCAAACCACTGAGCTATCCCCCTCTCCATACAGAGACTGAGTGATGGGCTCAGATCCTGAGATCAAACACTCAAATCTGAGCTGGCAGTGGGTTTTCAACCTCAGGCCTGTCTACCCCGAATGCCTTTCAACAGCAGCTATGATTGGCGTATACCACAGAAATGTTGGTGAACGTCAAACCATGCAACTTAACTTCCAGAGAAGTGAAAGGAGAGGGTGGGATGTGGTGAAAAGCAGTTCTTTTCGGAGCCTGTTCAATCCTGGTCTGCTTTTCTCTGGGCATGAGTGGGCATTCAGATCACATTTATTATACTGGGGTTGGGTTTATCCTTTGGGTCTGGAGCTGTATGAAACCCAGAACTTGATTTTTGGCAATATTGTGTGGAATTTTTATATCCTTCACACTTTCTACCTGAGCTTAGTTGAAAGAAAGTTCTTATTTTTTTAGCTCTGAAAACATATTTGTCTATTCATTTTGCTTAAACAAGTACCTAGTGTTAGAGACATTGCACTTTTCATTAAAAATGGGAACATGGAAAAATTTAGATTAATATGGGTCTAATTTGAGTACATAATAAAATGCAAAAAAGGTTGAAGTTTGAAAAGTTCTGTGTTTCATTATGGTGATTTTTTCATACCCTTAGGACGCCTGCAATACATATCATTTTTTAATTACCAATTTTGCCCACTAGATGTCATTGTGGCACTACAGACACGCTGGGATTCGTGCAGGTCCTTAGCTACAAATTATTATAGGTTTGGAGATGTCTCTTGTGTTGAAAGTTGATATTATTTGCCTTGTTTAAAGCATCAGAAGACTCGCACAGTAATGCAGGTGGACACCAAGAACAACCATGTCTTCTTCTACTTACGGAACGTAAGTCTGGGGAAGAATGTGGCTTTTTTCTTTTTTTTTCTTCATAGTTTGTGTAAAATCTTAAGCTACATTCCTACAGAAATAAAACCACACATCATCAGCAAGCCTGTTTATTGTTTTCTACATGGATATTTCACGTGTTTGTTACCATTGCATATAACCAGTAGGGTGGGCTATTCAAATTACCTAGCCACACTACATAAATCCATTTAGAATAATGGCAGTTATGTTGCATATTTTTTGCTCTGAGACCTACAAATGCAGGAACACAACTGCAAACTTGTGCCATGGAAAGGGAGCTCTGGATTTATCACTAACCTTTATGGAAGAGCTGCTCATTTTCACAGCATTTTCCACAGAGATAAGCCTCTGTCCCTGCCCCCAAGAGCAGACAGTTTAAAACACCGCATTTAAGCAGACGGTTTAAAACACAGCACTTTACACAGGGATTTGAAAAATAAGAAAGGGAACATTTGACAGAAACTAAAAGCTGTTTATGGTGGAGAGAAGAGACAAAGGGACTTAGAAATCTCTGCTCGGAATGATGAGATAAAGTGGATATTAAATGAACCCAAGTCTGATGCCTGTTTCCATCCTATTTCCAGGTGACTCAGAAAGAGATCCGTTTCTCTTTCTCAGTTGAGCAAAGCTTTCCTGTTACTGATATCAAACCTGCTTCAGTGCACATCTATGACTACTACGAAACAGGTAGGAGGCCTGCCTGAGCCTGAGAAGAGACCTAGGCCAACTCCATACTATGGGGGAAGGTCGCCTTAAAATTCACAATTCTGGGTATGAAAAAAATGTATGTTACAATGAGTTTCATCACTGTCACAATTCTGGGTATGAAAGAAAAGTATGTTACAATGAGTTTCAGCACTGTCCTCACAGTGGGAGGT